TAAAAGTTTCTATGGGGCATTAAGAAAAGAGTTTTCCAGCTCCATCCAGGCAGCTCATTGATTGCTCATCTGTAAAATGCAAGGATCCAGGAGCACCATGACTTGAAATAAAATTTGTTTAAACCATACATTCTGAACAATTATATTTCGTCACTGTGCGACAGGATCCCTCCCTTTTACAATGGAATAATTTGGGTTCTCCGGTGAAGTAATCAGTGCTCAGTCATTGCAGGGTGCAAATATGGCTGACTGCCTTCGCAGTGTTTATTGCCTTATATACAGGTATTCCAAATAGCATAAAGTAACATGGCATCAGCATTGTCCGCCAGTTGCCAGCCCTTTCTTAGATTGTCACTGCACACAGTCGCTCGTGGCCTGGTCAGTGGTGGGATACAAATATGTGAACAACTGGTTCTCTGTGTAGATGCCACTTCCAGAAGTCCATTCTGGGCCTGGGCAACAAAAAAATTAGCTACTGGTTCTGCCGAAGTGGTGCGAACCGGTTGAATCCCACCACTGTGGCCTGGTCATCTCACCCTTGGACTATTGCGATGCAATGTAGTCTACATGGAGCTATACTTGAGGAGTATTTAGAACTACAGCTGGCAAAAAATGCAGCAGTACGAACAGTCTTAGGGGCCCCCTAGGGTGACCCATGTTACACCATTATTGTGCGAACAGCACTGGTTGTTGGTTTGCTTATCCAGTTCAAGGGTTTGGTTATCACCTTTAAAGCCCTTTATGGCCTGGGTACAGGTTATCTGAGGAGCTGCCTCACCCCAATTGGATTGGCCTGCCCCACTCGTTTTGGCAGAAAGAGATACGCTCTGCATCCCATCAGCCAAGGAATTGCAGCTGGCAGGGTCCAGGAGAAGAGGCTTTTCTGTCATGGATCCCACTCCTTGCAATGTGGCCCCATCACCATCTTCTTGGCCTTCCCAAAAAGCCTGAAAACGTGGCTCTGCCAACTGACTTGGCAATGGAGGGGGCGCTTTTGGGAGGTGGCTAGTAGATAAGCAGAAGTTTTTACCAATTATGTCCATTTTAATTATAACTCTTTCCAATAACTGATCTTTCTATAGATTGTGGGGATAAAAAAATATATATGAAAGTTTCACATTGGGAAATATTATAAATGTGCAATTATTCAAAAGAAAATCCCTCTTTCTCAGCAGTACCTACTCTTTCCAGCTATATGCTTGGCGCTCGTTTCAGCCTTGTGACGTGAACGGTTTCCCAAACAACATGGTCTCACATTTCTGAATCAGATTTTATATTCAAAATACTGGCAGGACACCCCTTTTATGCTGTTCCCATTAAGCCCCTAGTGCAGGAGTAGGCAACCTTGGCTCTTTTATGACTCGTGGACTTCAACGTCCAGAATTCCTGAGCCAGCCCCTAGTGTGAATTGTTCAGAATGGTGATTTTCTTTTTTTCTTTTTTGGTAACAGATTCTCACTATTAGAGTTTGCTCTTTCTTTGGCAGTAGCTACACAATTAATGTAGCCACCTTAAAACTGAGTGGGAGAAGAAAAACGCTGAGCCACTGAAAGAGAAAGCATACGGGCTGCCATAATTGCTATCCGCTGGGTAACTGAGTACAAGCAAGGTGGGGTTATGGACATGACCTACTTTGATGGGTTTTATTATAGAACTAGGTGAATGGGAATCCATCACAGCATCATTCTGAGCTGGTTTAGAACAGCTTTATTTAATTCTCAGTTTCTTGCTCAGCCAAATCGTCGTAACTGGTTCACTTCTATTCAGCATAAACAATGAATATCATGAAGGTGGGGCGGGGCTTATGTAAAAGGGCCTTTTTTTAAAAAAAGCCTTTATTTTAAGTATATGGGTTGGTTCCAGATTTAGCCCCACTGAAATCTGTTACTTATGATTCATATAAGTGCAAAGTGTTCTTCAACACTTCAAGAAAGCTAAACAAAATGTGGAGTAAAAATAAGACGGAACAAGAGAAGAGATCATTACTGCTTTCCGATTCTCCTAACCCTTGCAAGTCAACTATTCAAACTATATGGGCCATATTTTGCTGCCATTCCTACTGCAGAGGCTTCATCTTGAGGCTTTAAGTGTCACCATTGATTCAGAACAATTTGGAATAGAATAGAATAGAATAGAATAGAATAGAATAGAATAGAATGGAATGGAATGGAGTGGAGTGGAGTGGAGTGGAGTGGAGTGGAGTGGAGTGGAGTAGAGTGGAGTAGAGTAGAGTAGAGTAGAGTAGAGTAGAGTAGAGTAGAGTAGAGTAGAGTAGAGTAGAGTAGAGTAGAGTAGAGTAGAGTAGAGTAGAGTAGAGCTGGAAGGGACCTTGGAGATCTTCTGGTCCAGCCCCCTGCTCTTTTCAGACATTATTAGATTTTTATAAGGTTGTCTAACTGCTGCTGCTAATAGTTGGGGAAAACTTGGCATATATAAATTGATACTTGACAAAGTAGTGATACCTTCATTCACTCAGGAGTTCCCTTCAAAAAGCTTTACCTGTGATTTTCAGACTAGTGTTATCCCAAAGTGTAAGCTTATGAAATGAGTAAGGATCAACATGTTTCTCAATATTTTCCAACCTTCCTTTTGTGTTGTAAATACAGTTGAGCATTCACTAAAAAAGGCATGAAACCCCTGCCATATCAGAGGAGTCAAATAAAAACAAAAGTGAATTTTCAACTTGATTTTCTAAATTTCATAAAAAAGTAGAAGTTAAATATACAATATCCCCCCCCCCAAATGAAGCTGCAAATGAATGAAATTAAAACCATTTTCTTTGTAGGGGGCTGTTCTTCCCATAGAAACCTCATAAATTATTTATCAGTCTGCTTAAAACTCCTGAAAGATATTGACATGGGAATCCCTTAAAGTACACAATGTCTATCTTGAAGAAAATTCATTTCTACAATTATTTATCTTTCCCCATGCACTCCTGAGGAGTTTTAGCCATCTGTTTACATCGGTGCCAATCTGAGACAGGCAATTTGGTGTCAATATTAGCACTTTTGAATTCCCTTTACACATTTCTTCAGTTGCCCTAGTCTGTATTATGTTTTAAGAAAAATCCCCCAATTTATTATTCTTTAGCTTATTTAGCTTTCTGGCACAATAGCTTATTTGCTGTCTGTTTTTATTACTACCATGTATTTTTCTGTATTTTGTTTTATGTATTTTAATTGCATGTTTCATTGACTTTCTATTTACTGTTCTCATGTAATAATTTGTGTTAATGATTTTGATATTAGATTATTCTGTGTGACTTTTATTTGGTTTTCATCATTAATATTTTACTATCATTTCTAATTTTAATTACTGGGGTTTGTCAGTAATTGATACTAAGTATTCGTGATTTACATGTTACATAAATAAATGTTCTCATCTACAAATACAGCAGTATTTTCTTTGAGTATTTATTGCAAGATATTTATTCAAACATCAAGTAACTCATCCTTTTTTTTTCAAATAACTACAGACCACTTTAAAATCATTGAAGGAATATATTCTAGTTGATCTGAATGACAGTAAATCTTGCTAAAAAGATTCATAATGGTGAAACAAACTTAGCTTCAGCCACCTCTATATCCATAATGTGCTTTGATTGCCTCATATTTCTGAATAAAAATAGAAATATCAATCAATCATATTCAAGACTTGTCAATTTTTTAGGGAAGGCAGATTGCTCAGGATGGTGGATTAAAGGAGGTATAGTCTATAATGTATGTACCAAAGTCACTGTCAAATATTGAGCATTGACATTTAATTAAGAATTTGAGCAATAACATGCAGAAGCTGTAGAATCTTTATAGTCTTCAACATCCTTAAATGAAATGGAGGAAGGGGAATATCATTTATAGAGCCATACAAACTGCATCTTCAACACTTCCTTAAAAAAGCTGGATTCCAAGACTCGCGCAGTATCAGCATAATCTTTGGATAATGCATGTTATAAGAGTGGCAGGCAATTTCTTGAGCTCTAGTTCAGCTCTAGGTTGTGTCATCCAGTACTACTGATCTCTTTTAATCCTCCCATGTATTTTTAAAGATAAATAGGAAACAAACTGCTACCAAATCTTCTTAAACATCCTTTCATAATACAGAAGGGAAAGTTCTCTCTGACGTCTCTGGGATCCTCTTCCCGAATTATTGGTGACCATTTGTTGCAAAGTGCTGCAAATTAATTTGTACTTCGGTAGCACTTTCCAAATGTGGCTTCAACATGGATAAACATTGCGCATCTGTTTTACTAAACTGCCCTTCCTCTCTTTTCTTCTTTTCTTTTCTTTTTTGAAAACCCAGCTGAGGAAGTGGAGAGACTGGCTGCAATGCGTTCGGACTCATTGGTTCCAGGGACACACACCCCTCCCATAAGGAGGAGAAGTAAGTTTGCCAATCTAGGAAGACTTTTCAAGCCATGGAAATGGAGGAAGAAGAAGAGTGAAAAGTTCAAGCACACATCAGCAGGTAAGTTGCAAACCTCTTTTCAGCACCGAATTGGATTAATATTTGTTTTGATCAATATTTGTTTTCCCTCCCCCCCAAAAAGTGAAATAGAATTGCTACGCTATAATTGTCTCAACAGCTATAAATTGTTTCGGTGATTGGTAGTTCTATAGTAATTTATAGAATAGCAGTAGAAGTGCTTAGGTGGAAACAGAAAAAACAACAACAACCAGATGTCCCTTAACCCTTTTCCCTCTATTGCTTTGCCTCCAGGTTAAATGGCTTGTTAGTCCATGATGTGGGTGGGCAACTATGGCAATTTTACAACATGTGGACTTCAACTCCCAGAATTCAATGCTGGCTCAAGAATTCTTAGAATTGAAGCCAACAAGCAGTGGTGGGATTTAAATATGTGAACAACCGGATGCCACTTCCAGAAGTCCATTCTGGGCCTGGGCAACAAAAAATTAGCTGCCGGTTCTGCCGAAGTGGTGCGAACCAGCTGAATCCCACCACTGTTCACAAGACATAAGTTGCTATAGTTGCGTAACACTGGTCTATGGCCTGAACAGGTGCATTTCTTTTATGGAGTGGAAATGCATCACGATATATTCCACTTTTTACACAGAAAGAGGTGAACACAGTGTGGTATTAGAATCCATCTTTCTCCATGACATGTCTTTACTCACCAACAAGTCTCAGTCTGTATAGTTGCTTTGTTGGGATACATTTTCTCGATCTCCCTTCTTTATTGTTGCTTCCTGTAATATATAAGATTTATCTTGACCAGATTTTCAAAACTGTAATACATCCAATATGTCTCTTAGTCTTTGCTTTTAAGGAACCAGATACCATTCTTTGCTTCCAGAAATCAACCCTTTTTTAGTTTTCTCTTTAAATTGCTCAACATATTTGCATGAGAGATAGGAAACTCATTCAGGAAGCTAAAGAGAATATCGAGGTAATTAATTTATGAGTTCCAATTAAAATGTCTTAAATGTAGAGTAAGAGCCCTCCTGGATCTGACAAAATGTTTGTTTATTCAAGCATCCTATTTCCCTTAGTGGCCAAAGAGAAGGCTTTGAGGAACTTTTCTTGCTCTTATCGTCCCAGCAACTAATCTTCATCATTCTGTTGCCTAAAACTAGGGTGCAAGATTTCAAGTACAGCAGAATTTTTGGGCCGGATGAAGAGGCAGGGAAAAAAGGAAAGACTGGTGGGAAATGTGGCTTTGAAGATTTTGTACCAGTTTGTAACTGGAACGGTTCTATCGGGATAATTAGATAAATGTAATGACCCAAGGCCAAAGTTAGGGAGCAGCTGAATGTGAATGGTGATGAACTTGTATAGGAAAACCAAGTGGCACAGTGGTTAGAATGCAAAATTGCAGGCAAACTCTGCCCACAGCCTGGAGTTCGATCCTAACAAGGCTCAAGGTTGACTCAGTCTTGCATCCTTCTGAGGTACGTAAAATGAGCAATCAGATTGTTGGGGGCAATATGCTGACATTATAAATTGTCCAGAAAGTGCTATAAAGCACTATCGGGCAGTATATAAGTCTAAATGCTATTGCTATTGTTATAAGTGGCTGTCAAAAAAAAGCGAGACTACAGGTAGTCCATGATTTACAATAGTGCATTTAATGACCATTCAAAGTTACAACGGCACTGAAAAAAGGGACTTATGGCCGTTTTTCACACTCATGACTGTTGCAGCATTCCCATGCTAATGGGATCAAAATTGAGATGATTGGCAAGTGACTCATATTTATGACGGTTGCAGTGTCCCGGGGTCACGTGATCCACCTTTTGCAAACTTCTGATAAGTAAAGTCAATGGGGAAGCCAGATTCACTTAACAACTGTGTTACTAACCTCAACAACTGCAGCGATTCACTTAACAACTGGCAAGAAAGGTCATAAAGCGGGCAAAATTCACTTAACAACCATCTCACTTAACCACAGAAATTTTGGTTATAACTGAAAAACTGCCCTAAGTCCCTTTTTTCAGCGCCCTTGTAACTTTGAATGGTCACTAAATGAACCGTTGTAAGTCGAGGACTTGGAGCAAAGTAGTCATGTATATGTAATCGTATTCTAGTGGCTGCTAAAAATCTTTTTTTGAACAAGCCTCCTTATTTTTCTTTCAAGTTTTTGCTAACAACAAAGCAATACTGTACCCTTAAATCAATGAGAGAAAGAGAGAGAGAGAGAGAGAGAGAGAGAGAGAGAGAGAGAGAGAGAGAGAGAGAGAGAGAGAGAGAGAGAGAGAGAGAGAGAGAGAGAGAGAGAGAGCTTATTCAGACACTTAATCACTTCAAGCACAGTATTTGAACAATCAAAACCCTCAAGGGGGAGATTTCTTTTTTTCAGATCCTTTAATTATGTAAGCACCCCAATTCTACTTATGTGTTGAACTTTCTGCTATCCTACTCAGGGCAACAAAGCCTGCGTCCTGTGGGAATGAAGACAAGAGAGCAGGTGGTGTGGACAGTTTTGTAGAACACTGAAAACACTTGGCCGTGTTCTCGTCTGGTGAAAATATATCCGTAGTGTTATTTCCTGCAACACATCCTAGGATTTGATGGGTTGCTTTTTAATTATGAAGGTAGCACTATAATTTCTCCCCAGGGTCATTGAGAATATTGTTAACCTGATGATCAACAGAAGAGGGAAACATTGCCAGTGGCTTTTCTCTGTAAAATAGGGGTCTTAGGGATTGTCCAGTACCTTCTACTTCTTCATTCATATTCTCAATGGGATTTCCTTCCCCCCCTCCCCGGTTTGGAGGAGGCGTATGAAATAATAATTAGCGGAAGGCACTTGCCTAATCAAGTCTGTCACCTCAACTTCTTACCGCTCATAGTACTTAAATTCAACAGAAAAGTCCAAAGTATGTCTAGCAATTATAGGTAGTTCTCAACTTACAACCACAGTTTCTGTTGCTAAGGAAGACAGTTGTTAAGGGAGTCACGTCCAATTTCATGGTCTTTTTTGCCACAGTCAAGTCAATCCCTGTATCGGTGAATCATGTGGCCTTTAAACAAATGTAGCTTCCCCCGTTGGTTTTCCTTGTTGGAAGCAGGCTGGGGAGATCCAAGTGGTGGTCACATGACCTCAGGACACTGCAGCTATCGTAGATACATGCCAGTTGCCATGTGTCTGAATTTTGATCACATAACATGGCAATAGTTGTAGCTACATGCACCATTCGTAAGTCACTTTTTTCAATGCTGTTGTAACTTTGAATGGTCACTAAACAAATGTTTGTAAGTTGAAGACCTGTTGCGATATTTTATCCTTGTATTACAGATTCAAAGCTAAGGTTTGTATGGAATGTGATCTAATGAGCTGAATGAGTTGAAGAACCACCGCAGTTGGGTTGATGCCTAACGTTAAACATAAACCATAGCTTAAAATCCCATTCTCTGGGTTCACACTAATTAGCATAATATGTGTACACTACTCAGCACTACAGTGTTGGGGTTCCTGACCTGGGACAGGAATATTGTCAGAATGTTAGAATAGAAAAAAAGCGGATAGTAACTATGAACTCCACTTTCTGAATACAAAGGCTGACTGGTGTTGATGAATATATTTTTCCAATGCACAAATATAAACCTTCTGACCAAAAGAAATAATATGTAAATGTTATTTGGTGGATTTCTACTATGATAAAAGTAGTTCTCCACTAATCCTAAATTGGCATTAGTTGCTGCAATTGTTTATTTTTTTTATGAGACTTTGATAATATGGGCATCCAATGAAAGGAGATGTTTACTAAGTTTCTCTACAGCTGAATCTTTTTCAACCTCTTAAAAACTTGCTTAACTGCAAATTTATAACCATTAAGAAGCAAACTTTGACTTGCTGGATTTGAAAAGGCTTTTTAAGAATGTACTCATGCTCATGCTTTTGCTTTAATGACACATTTGTGGGGCGGGGGGGGGGAATCCTTCTATGTATCCAGACTTACAGGAAAGAAATGTTTAATGAGGCCATTTGGATTTTATGCTAATTACACTTCCAGCTGCTATAAAGATTATCTACAACGGCTTCAAACTGCAATTTCGTAGTGCCATTCTAAAATGGTATTTTCCTCTACCAAAGAAGCAGAAAAACAGTGTGAAGTTCATCTGGAAGGAGGGACTTTATATAAACAGGATATAAAGCTGTAATAGGCGAAATAAAAATGATTCTCTCTGTTTTCTCTATCATAATTGGTGGAATGCGTCACATTTCAAAGGATCTGTCATCAAAAGTAGCGATAATGGTGTTCCTGGAACTGCAGATGCAATTTAAAAAAAAAATGTTTCTCCTGAATAAGATAAAAATGTGTGTCAGTTGCAGCTGTCACACTGAAAATATTTGCAGCCATCTAAACAAACTCAGTGCCAGATATCTACTAATGCAATCAGCCACATAATAAAGTGACTGAGATTTATTTATTTTTTTCAGAATTTGGAACTGAAATTTGAAATCCTTGTCTAACACTATGCTATATAAGTCTACTCAGAAATAGGTTTTGCTGCTGATGGCTGGCTGGGGAATTCTGGGAGTTGAAGTCCATGCCTCTTAGAATTGCTAAGGTTGACAAACACTGATCTACACATTGGTGCACACTATTAACTGCCTTATTTATGCAGTGAAGAGAGTTGAAACTAAAACCCATCACGTTCTTGGAGAAGTTTCACTTTTTGTAATAAAATGTTAAATGTTACACAATGTTTTTTAACTTGTATCATGAGAATGTTCTGAAAAGAACCTATTTTTTCTATGATGTATACCTGGGCCTTCCTACGTGAAAGACTCCTCTATTTAATCAAGAAAATCATCCAGATCCATTTTTCTAGTGAAGGTGTTCAATGTTTTATAATAATAATAATAATAATAATAATAATAATAATAATAATAATAATAATAATAATAATAATAATAATAATAAAAGTTGTAAGGGACCTTGGAGGTCATCGAGTCCAACCCCCTGCTCAGGCAGGAACCCTACACCAACCATTTTGTACAT